TATTTCAAGCCAAAAGGAAAGAGCCCCCCCCCCCCCCCCCTTACAGTTGGTCAGAATGCAACTTTTATAGACAGCTAAAAAGATCATTGGTGTCCCATCTCGCTGGCTCTGCCACGGGGCATTGGCTCTTGAACCATACAGACAGCGTTATATGGGAAGTCAATCAGCTCAAGGAACCCTGAGCAACCTCTGATGGAACCCCAGGGTCCCATGGAACCCTTGTTGAGAATGGCTGCTGTAATGCATAATAAAACGACTTACGCTTTTCTGATCCGGAGGGGTGCAGCCTACATCTTCAGGATCTGTAGATAAAGCAGAAAGAAGATTCTTTGGATGAGAGAATTCCAGAGACAGTCTACACCAGGCATGTCAAACTGATGCTTTCTGGGCCCCTTTCTCGGCTCTCTCAATTGTGCTGCGCAGCTCTTTGCTGTTTAAAAGAAAGATAAACAGAGGCCCCAGCTGTTCCCAGCTGATAAAGGCTCCACTTCTTTAGATCATTTTACAGCCGAATACTTCTGGTCAGCAAATCTTTTGTGGTCCTCACTCTGGGATTAAATGTTGTAACTTGAAATGACCAAAGTGCTATAATTGTGGAGTTCTAAATCAGACACCGTCACACTTCAGATCACCCCAATTCCTGGACCTTCACACCTCAGATCAGCCCCAATTCCTGGACCTTCACACCTCACATCAGCCCCAATTCCTGGACCTTCACACCTCACATCAGCCCCAATTCCCGGACCTTCACACTTCAGATCACTCCAATTCCTGCACCTTCACACCTCAGATCAGCCCCAATTCCTGGACCTTCACACCGCAGATTAGCCCCAATTCCTGCACCTTCACACCTCAGATCAGCCCCAATTCCTGGACCTTCACACTTCAGATCACCCCAATTCCTGCACCTTCACACCTCAGATCACCCCAATTCCCGGACCTTCACACCTCAGATCAGCCCCAATTCCTGGACCTTCACACCGCAGATCAGCCCCAATTCCTGCACCTTCACACCGCAGATCAGCCCCAATTCCTGGACCTTCACACCTCAGATCAGCCCCAATTCCTGCACACAGGGGGTTTTACAATCATACCTGCAGCCAGGTATCTCTCAGTTGCACTAGGAGGAGGATGAAGGTAGGCGTACGCTAGTATTAAGAGGAGGGATGGCACCTGATGGGCCTCTCTGTGATATAATAGAGGTTGGTGAACTGCAGGCAGTCCAGGCCTTATAATTGACAACGTGAGCTGTCAATTACAGCCTGTGGCAGCAGTGTTGTATTTGTAGGGAGCAGGGGCACACCTGAGGATCCTCTGGTTCAGCAGACAAGTCAAAGCCTGCACATATGCCACATGATGATCTCCCGGGTGTCACTAAGAATTACACTGTGCGCTCGGCCTGGTTCGCATGCTTTAAGTTGCCTATCCCTGGACTATATATATTTAAAAGGTTCAGGAGGTCGTGTTCCCTATACAATAGGGATAGAAATGCACTACAACCTAATCAGAGTTAAAAACAGAAGCCCCAAACAGATACACTATGTCTCCAATATACAGTACTTTTCAAGGCTTCATTGCCAATGTAGACAGGGATTTAGATGATGACTGTCTGCAGGGACTGGAGTAGTTATGTTTTGGGTGACAGCAATACTAAGAAATGGCCATTTACTTCCATTAACCTTATTCTGGTTTGGGAAGTTCCAGCTAACAGCTCCTGCCTGTATACATTTGTAGTGCAGTCAGCCACCATGGTACATGTTGGTACTCGCCACATACAGGATGTTCAGGACTTACACTCAACGAGGAAGAGGAAGCAGATGATTCCCAGTACAGCGATTATAACTCCTGGTACGATGAAGGACAAGCCCCAGGCAGAGGAGACAAAAGCCCCGGCAATAAGAGAGCCCAATATGTTTCCGACAGCCGTGTGAGAGTTCCAGATCCCCATGATGAACCCTCGTCTGTGAGTGGAGGAGAAGGAAACGTGCCAATAAGAATGTTCTAATAGAGGAGTCTACAATGATATTCCTACACGGACAAACAGGGAAAACTCAGCAGCATTATTTATAGCATGGGGAAGTCAAATATGGAATGGGAAATCAGACAGGGATCTCATGTAGTTTGTTCTGAGGGGGGGTTCCCCCATTTTTTTCTCTCTTTGTGTTCCCAAAACAAATGACAGCCGAACACAAAAGGAGTAGGGGGATCCCAGAATACTGACGTACTCACAATTGGGGGTCTCAATGACACATTGACACTTGGGGAGTTCCAGAATAGCACACTAACACTCAGTGTGTCATTGGGTCCCCTAATGTTAGTGAGCCATTGAGACCCCACACACTCGGGGGTCCCAATGGCACACTGACACTCGGGGGTTCCAGAACAATAGCACACTAACACCTAGTGTGTCATTGGGTCCCCTAATGTTAGAGTGCCATTGAGACCCCACTGTCAGGAACCGGGTCTGAACCCAGAGCCTCTGCTGTAGCTGGCAGTGGTTCTAGCTGCTGAGCCACCCAAGAACCTTGGATAGCTCCTTGCCTGATCTCCTGTGTATCCTCAGTTATACCTAATCAGATGCTGAACTCTGACCTCCTTGCTCCTCCCTTGAACTTCCTATTTAAGCCACGCCTCTGCACTTCCTGTTTGCCAGATTATTATGCTCCTGCCTTGATCTTGCTTCCTGCTCCCTCTGTGCTACAATCTACTCATACTGGTACCCGTGTACCGACCTTTGGCTGCTGATTCACCCACTACTCTCTCCGTCTCCTGCTACATACCGGATACCGTTGGCACCTGGCCTCGGCTTGTTCACTGACTACGCTTCTGGCTGCTCCTCCACTACTACCCTCTGCCTGTGTACCGAACCCGGCCTGTTATACAACGAATTGCCTGCTGCTTCAGCTGCTGGACTCTGAGCCTGATCCAGGATCGTGACACCCACACACTCGGGTCCCAATGGCAATTGGAAGTTCCAGAATAGCACACTAACAATCAGTGTGTCACTATGTCTCCGAACATTAGTGTGCCATTTGAAAACCACACACACAAAGGCTACATTCACAGGTGTGAATGTGTGTTTTGGGATTCCTGTGGCAGAAACCTACAAATTCCTGTGGCAGAAATCCTAAATATGCCATTTGGAAGCAGCCACTGTCACCCAATTATTAACTTGAATGGGTGACAGCGCCCACTTCCAAATGGCATATTTGGGATTTCTGCCGCAGGCATCCCAGAACGCACATTCCCAAATAGTGTGAATGAACCCTAACACTTAGGGGTTCCAAAACAAAGACACACTGACACATGAGGGTCCCAATGGCATACTAACATTTGGGCGCTCCAGTGACACAATGACACTCTGGGGTCCAAATGACAGTGCCAGTTGAGGGTCCCAATAGCAAACTAACACTTGGGGGTCAATGGCACACTGACACAGAACAATATTGCACTGAGATTTGGGGGTCCCTCTATATAATAGGAGAGCATTTTCAGTCTCTGAAGCACACGCACCCATGAAATAGACACAGCTGTATTAATAAACTTACTTTCCTTTACCAAACCAGTTCCCCATCAAGGCCACCACAGACGGCCATCCTGTAGTCTGAGCCACTCCATTCAATATCTGCAAACACATAAAAATACCAGAATTAGTGAGATGACCCGCCATAAAGAAGCATCACAAATAGACAAAATTAGGCAAGAGAAGGTTTAACCAACTTTTAAATGATTTGCCATGTAAAGGGTGATGACAAACATTTTGTCTTTCATGGAAAGTCCTGTAATTTTCCTACCACCCAGAGGACAAAATCGGCTGAACCGGGGTGATGCCGTCACAGAATTGTGAGGATTTGGGGTGGATACTTTGGGCACGGATCAGGTAATTCTAATATTTTAGGGGTTAATGGTAGAGTTATGATATTCAGCAATGGGTTTTAGGTGAAGTTTTCCGATTCAAGTTAAAATGTTTCTAAACCCCCAGAACCTAAATGTACCAATATAATGGTGTTCTATTATCTGCCTATATATATATATATATATGGATATGATGATCTTACCTGGAAGAGGATATAGTACCAGAGGGCGTGAATTTTCCAGTAATAGCCCAGCCCCAGGAAAGTTGTGAACACCCCGCAGATGACCATACCGCCGGACAAATAATAGCGCAATGGAAGGCGCTCGCCAAACATACCGCTGCAAGCAAATAAAGCAATAAAAAGATTAATTTATTCTTTCAAAGACAAGTCCTCCATGACCGTTCCATGTCAGCATGCCTACCCCCTCTCTGCAAGGGTGGGGGTAGGTAGCAAGCTTGTTCTAGTCTCAGAGTTCTTATTTAAAAGGAGAACTATGAGATGAATGCTTTTCGCTCACCTCATAATTCTAGCCGACCTGTGACAATGAGACTGTCACAGGTCGGCTCAGTAGATCGGGAGGTGAGCGAACACATACCGGCGTTCGCTCACTTCTCGATCCTGTCACGGCTCTCTGCCGTGACAGGGGAGGGGCTGGATTCCCCCCTCCCTGCTCCGATCTGCCAGCGCTGACTGGCGGAACGGACGGGGGAGGGGGCGGGTACAGCTGGCTCTGCCTCTAGATAGGCAGAGCCAGCTGTCACTCACGCAGCTGGGCGGATCCCGTCGTCTAAGTCGGGATCCACTCCGGCTGCGGCGTCTCAGTATATACCGCAAGCTGTATACTGAGCTTAGGGTAATGGGAGGACGCTAGTTTGTGTCCTCCCGTTACCCTAAGGAGAACTATGTGGAAAAACACTGACCCCATAGTTCTCCTTTAAGGAACCTCAGGTGACATTTCAGCCATATAAACCCGATCCTACTGGGAGGTAGTTTACAGGAAAGTACAATTACCGCCTTTCATCGGGATAATACCAGCACGCCACATCAGCGTTAATCGTTTCTTTGTTCTGGGAGATAAATGTTATAGTTCAACCTCTACTGGAAATGCCAACAAATATCAGATTTCAGGTTTCTGTTCTTTCCCATTGATCTTCTGTGCACACAGCCAGGGAACAGGAATGACTTCCCATGAAGAGAAATAGCTGCCAATGCCAGGGACCCCAGGACCATGTTCACCATCATTTACCCCAAGGGACCCCTAGCCTCGCCTTGGCCACATCATATGCAATATCAAATACAAAGAGTCCATGGAGAGAGATATGCCGTGATCGAGAGCACCGACTGAAATCAGACACAAATACAGGGGGTGGCAGTGATTGCCTTGACAGGTTTTGGAGCCAACGGTGTTTATTCGGAAGGCTGAACATGAAGTAATGATTGTGTTTAGGTAAAAGTCACTCGAAACTGGACATCCACTGTTTAAAATTTAGGCTGATTTCTGCCAACTCGGCCTGAATACGAGCTGTTGGTGGCCCTTTTTTGGTTTATTAAACCATATCTGAATCTTATGGGTGGCATTTTTCAAATACTTATCGGTGTTATCGTCATATACTGACCTCAGGAACATGCCGATGGCGTACGCCACCAGGAACGCCGTGTCCAGAGATCCCAGAAGTTCTTTATAATTGCCACCATCTAGAAATAAAAGACAAATTAATTTACTTCACACTCTGTAGTTATAGAGCAGCAACCAAACCCAGTTTGCTATAATATTCCATCGCATATCCAAAAATTAAGAGGAATATTCCTCATTTCAGGACAGGGGGCAGGGCTATGCATATAACTGCATTATGCCCCATCAGCCAGGTGCACATCCAGAATGGCCAGTGTATAGTGCAAATATAGAATATTATAGAGCCATTTATTCCAAACTGCTTACACCCCTTTCCTGAAATTAGGAATAATTCTCTTATTTTTGGGATATGTGATAGAATGAGACATGCGGAATCCTTCTGTTCTAAGAAGGCTTTACTGTGCTACTTACTAATTGGAAGTTGTTTGGATTCCACTAGTCCCTTCTCACCATAACCTGTATGGGTATACTGCCTTGTTGGGTCCCAAGCCCTACCCCATAGAAGCCATGGCTCCTTTATCCCCTTCTCATCGTAACCCATATGGTTATACTGTCTTGTTGGATCCCAAGCCCTACCCCATAGAAGCCATGATTCCTCTATCCCCTTCTCATCGTAACCCATATGGTTATACTATCTTGTTGGATCCCAAGTCCTCCTCCATAGAGGCCATGATTCCTTTAGCCCGTTCTCACCAAAACCTGGCTGTACTTTCTTGTTGAGTCCCAAGTCCTCCTTAGAAGAAGCCATGGCTCCTTTATCCCCTTCTCACCATGACCTCTATGGTTATACTGTCTCATTGGATCCCAAGCCCTACTCCATAGAAGCCATGGTTTCCATACACTACACTGATTATTGTCAACAAGCCTGAAACAGTGTGAACGGCACTTTGGCACGACACCTATGCTTTTTGCTGCACATCACCTCTTGGGCTAGGCCTTTTGGCTAAGACCAGGGGTAATTTTTAATTACCGGGCCACAAGGCCTACCCATTGCATTCACATTGGCACTCTAAATTATTTTTCTCACAGTTTGTTCACCGTTCACTTTTGTGTTTTTCACTCCACAGGGCAGAGGGTGCGGGTCTTCGGGACTACCCTGAAGTCTAGGGGGAGGCTGTGTGGCCCTCAGGTTCCTTCCTCCCAAGTCATCGGGTGTCTCCCTTCGGGAGAGCTCGCAAACGGGTACTCGTTGGTCGGCTTCGGCTGACCATGAGGAACGGGTCCGTCTGGTTTCAGGCCAGGTGGACATTAGTGCCTTGACCCTGTCAGGAGCCTTGCGCCCCGGAAGACGGACCCTTTAGACAGCACCCTTGCTGTGCACTTTTTTGTGTGTGTTCACATGCACTTTTTTGGTTCACTTTTTGGGTGTTTCAAGCACGCTCCACGGGCTTCAAGGGGAAAAAAAAAAAAATTGGGTCCTAAGCCCTACTCCATAGAAGCCATGGTTTCCATACACTGCACTGATTATGGTCAACAAGCCTGAAACAGTTGTGTGTGGTTAGGAATAAATGGCTCTATAATATTTGGCTATTTTTGCACTATACACCGGTGATTGTACATCTGGCTGTAAGGGCAGAAAGCAATGATTTGCATGGCTCCACCCACTGGCATGAAATGAAGAATACTCTTATTTTTGGGGATATGTGATGGAATGAGACACGCTGTTCTAAGTAAACTTTACTGAGCGAAACACTGATTCAGTTGGAGGGCTTTGTGATCCCTTTAGCCCCTCCTTGCCTTGACCTGTATGGTTATATCGTCTCTATATGAACCAGAAAAACAAAATATTACTCCGGGGAAGGAAATTTTGACAACATTCCACACGTGAGACGTCACAGACAAAATGATTTTCCACCAAGATTCTGTCACATGTCAGCTGTGGGTCTCGTCTGAAGATTTTCCAAACATAAAAAGAATTTAAAAACAGAAGTTCCAGCCGGACATTAAAAATAGAAATTGTTACTCACTGATCAAAATAGGAAGTAGTTACTGTGCCGATCCCGGGATATGTAACCGCTCAATTATGGACACAGTATATTACAGATGTATACCAGATACATTCATGTCACTCTACAGACTTAAAAGGAGAACTATGGGGTCAGTGTTTTTCCCCAGAGTTCTCCTAAGGGTCACGGGAGGACACAAACTAGCGTCCTCCCGTCACCCTAGGCTCAGTATATAGGGAGATACAGCTCGCGGTATACTGAGACGCCGCAGCCGGGACGGATCCCGACGAGATCCACCCAGCTGCGTGAGTGACAGCTGGCTCTGCCTATCTAGAGGCAGAGCCAGCTGTACCTGCCCCCTCCCCCGTCCGTTCCTCCCGTCAGCGCTGGAGGATCGGACAGGGGGGGGGGGGATCCCTGCAGGGGGTCGTGAGTGACAGTCACCGCTGGTATGTGTTCGCTCACTTCCCGATCTATTGAGCTGACCTGTGACAGTTTCATTGCCACAGGTCAGCTAGAACTATGAGATTTTTACTCGCTTCTCCTTTAAATACTTAAAGCTGAACTCCAGGCAAAAAAACAAAATACATTCCTCAATAGCCACAAAGGATATAGGGAGCAAAACCATCAAGCAAAAAAAAAAAGAAACCCCAAATTAATGAGTGGACACTCCGTGTGGATGGACATGGAAAACGGAGATGACATTTTGGGGAAATATGCACAAACTTTCTCAAGTCAAGTCCCACCTCAGAACCAATAAATACATCTGCACATCCCAATGTAAGCCATTGCAGGAACCTATCAAATAAAGCAGCATATACAGCTATACGACGACAGTAAGTCTAAGGTTGAAGCGCCACGTCGGCAGCTAAATGTCCAGAAATAGATTAAAAGACCGTCACAGAGCCAACACATTTCGGGGTCAGTAAACACCGCGCCGCGTCGGGACTTAAGTGAAGTAATATATATACTGGACGGGATACAAAGTACACAGTAGTTAAACCCGGCAGGTCATTTAAACACAACGTCTGTCAGCAGGTGGTTTGGGCAATCTAACGTGCATCATTATTTCAGCTCCTGCTTGAGCTGGGTGACCGAAAAAACCCGTCTGTGGTTACTCAAGCATCACGTGACCGCCGCAATGGGCAGAAAGAGTGATTAACGCAGTTTACAACCTTTACAACCTTATCTGCCAATTGTGCGTAAATTAAAATGATTCAGAGTTGGGATTTAATGACGAGGGCCAATAAAAAGGCAACACAAAGGATGATGAATTATCACTAATGCCCCATTTGTGCCAGCAGGTAAATACATTCGTGGCATTACAATCCAATCCTTCACATTAATATGGAAGCCGGAGGGCATTAGAGGCCCAGTGTCCGCGTCCCGTCCTTCCTACACGTTCAGATATCAGTCAGACTCTCTGAAGGGGTCTAAATGAGCATTGCTCACCTCCACTGCAACACATACAGAGGGGGATATATGGAAACCGGAGCAGCTGTGCACAGCAACCAATCAGCATCTCTCTCTCATTTTCAAATCATAACTGATCGCCAATGTAAGGAGAATTCTTCCCACTGACCCCCAATGTAAGGAACATTCTTCCCTCTGACCTCCAATGTAAGGAACATTCTTCCCTCTGACCTCCAATGTAAGGAACATTCTTCCCTCTGACCTCCAATGTAAGGAACATTCTTCCCTCTGACCTCCAATGTAAGGAACATTCTTCCCTCTGACCTCCAATGTAAGGAACATTCTTCCCTCTGACCTCCAATGTAAGGAACATTCTTCCCTCTGACCTCCAATGTAAGGAACATTCTTCCCTCTGACCTCCAATGTAAGGAACATTCTTCCCTCTGACCTCCAATGTAAGGAACATTCTTCCCTCTGACCTCCAATGTAAGGAACATTCTTCCCTCTGACCTCCAATGTAAGGAACATTCTTCCCTCTGACCTCCAATGTAAGGAACATTCTTCCCTCTGACCTCCAATGTAAGGAACATTCTTCCCTCTGACCTCCAATGTAAGGAACATTCTTCCCTCTGACCTCCAATGTAAGGAACATTCTTCCCTCTGACCTCCAATGTAAGGAACATTCTTCCCTCTGACCTCCAATGTAAGGAACATTCTTCCCTCTGACCTCCAATGTAAGGAACATTCTTCCCTCTGACCTCCAATGTAAGGAACATTCTTCCCTCTGACCTCCAATGTAAGGAACATTCTTCCCTCTGACCTCCAATGTAAGGAACATTCTTCCCTCTGACCTCCAATGTAAGGAACATTCTTCCCTCTGACCTCCAATGTAAGGAACATTCTTCCCTCTGACCTCCAATGTAAGGAACATTCTTCCCTCTGACCTCCAATGTAAGGAACATTCTTCCCTCTGACCTCCAATGTAAGGAACATTCTTCCCTCTGACCTCCAATGTAAGGAACATTCTTCCCTCTGACCTCCAATGTAAGGAACATTCTTCCCTCTGACCTCCAATGTAAGGAACATTCTTCCCTCTGACCTCCAATGTAAGGAACATTCTTCCCTCTGACCTCCAATGTAAGGAACATTCTTCCCTCTGACCTCCAATGTAAGGAACATTCTTCCCTCTGACCTCCAATGTAAGGAACATTCTTCCCTCTGACCTCCAATGTAAGGAACATTCTTCCCTCTGACCTCCAATGTAAGGAACATTCTTCCCTCTGACCTCCAATGTAAGGAACATTCTTCCCTCTGACCTCCAATGTAAGGAACATTCTTCCCTCTGACCTCCAATGTAAGGAACATTCTTCCCTCTGACCTCCAATGTAAGGAACATTCTTCCCTCTGACCTCCAATGTAAGGAACATTCTTCCCTCTGACCTCCAATGTAAGGAACATTCTTCCCTCTGACCTCCAATGTAAGGAACATTCTTCCCTCTGACCTCCAATGTAAGGAACATTCTTCCCTCTGACCTCCAATGTAAGGAACATTCTTCCCTCTGACCTCCAATGTAAGGAACATTCTTCCCTCTGACCTCCAATGTAAGGAACATTCTTCCCTCTGACCTCCAATGTAAGGAACATTCTTCCCTCTGACCTCCAATGTAAGGAACATTCTTCCCTCTGACCTCCAATGTAAGGAACATTCTTCCCTCTGACCTCCAATGTAAGGAACATTCTTCCCTCTGACCTCCAATGTAAGGAACATTCTTCCCTCTGACCTCCAATGTAAGGAACATTCTTCCCTCTGACCTCCAATGTAAGGAACATTCTTCCCTCTGACCTCCAATGTAAGGAACATTCTTCCCTCTGACCTCCAATGTAAGGAACATTCTTCCCTCTGACCTCCAATGTAAGGAACATTCTTCCCTCTGACCTCCAATGTAAGGAACATTCTTCCCTCTGACCTCCAATGTAAGGAACATTCTTCCCTCTGACCTCCAATGTAAGGAACATTCTTCCCTCTGACCTCCAATGTAAGGAACATTCTTCCCTCTGACCTCCAATGTAAGGAACATTCTTCCCTCTGACCTCCAATGTAAGGAACATTCTTCCCTCTGACCTCCAATGTAAGGAACATTCTTCCCTCTGACCTCCAATGTAAGGAACATTCTTCCCTCTGACCTCCAATGTAAGGAACATTCTTCCCTCTGACCTCCAATGTAAGGAACATTCTTCCCTCTGACCTCCAATGTAAGGAACATTCTTCCCTCTGACCTCCAATGTAAGGAACATTCTTCCCTCTGACCTCCAATGTAAGGAACATTCTTCCCTCTGACCTCCAATGTAAGGAACATTCTTCCCTCTGACCTCCAATGTAAGGAACATTCTTCCCTCTGACCTCCAATGTAAGGAACATTCTTCCCTCTGACCTCCAATGTAAGGAACATTCTTCCCTCTGACCTCCAATGTAAGGAACATTCTTCCCTCTGACCTCCAATGTAAGGAACATTCTTCCCTCTGACCTCCAATGTAAGGAACATTCTTCCCTCTGACCTCCAATGTAAGGAACATTCTTCCCTCTGACCTCCAATGTAAGGAACATTCTTCCCTCTGACCTCCAATGTAAGGAACATTCTTCCCTCTGACCTCCAATGTAAGGAACATTCTTCCCTCTGACCTCCAATGTAAGGAACATTCTTCCCTCTGACCTCCAATGTAAGGAACATTCTTCCCTCTGACCTCCAATGTAAGGAACATTCTTCCCTCTGACCTCCAATGTAAGGAACATTCTTCCCTCTGACCTCCAATGTAAGGAACATTCTTCCCTCTGACCTCCAATGTAAGGAACATTCTTCCCTCTGACCTCCAATGTAAGGAACATTCTTCCCTCTGACCTCCAATGTAAGGAACATTCTTCCCTCTGACCTCCAATGTAAGGAACATTCTTCCCTCTGACCTCCAATGTAAGGAACATTCTTCCCTCTGACCTCCAATGTAAGGAACATTCTTCCCTCTGACCTCCAATGTAAGGAACATTCTTCCCTCTGACCTCCAATGTAAGGAACATTCTTCCCTCTGACCTCCAATGTAAGGAACATTCTTCCCTCTGACCTCCAATGTAAGGAACATTCTTCCCTCTGACCTCCAATGTAAGGAACATTCTTCCCTCTGACCTCCAATGTAAGGAACATTCTTCCCTCTGACCTCCAATGTAAGGAACATTCTTCCCTCTGACCTCCAATGTAAGGAACATTCTTCCCTCTGACCTCCAATGTAAGGAACATTCTTCCCTCTGACCTCCAATGTAAGGAACATTCTTCCCTCTGACCTCCAATGTAAGGAACATTCTTCCCTCTGACCTCCAATGTAAGGAACATTCTTCCCTCTGACCTCCAATGTAAGGAACATTCTTCCCTCTGACCTCCAATGTAAGGAACATTCTTCCCTCTGACCTCCAATGTAAGGAACATTCTTCCCTCTGACCTCCAATGTAAGGAACATTCTTCCCTCTGACCTCCAATGTAAGGAACATTCTTCCCTCTGACCTCCAATGTAAGGAACATTCTTCCCTCTGACCTCCAATGTAAGGAACATTCTTCCCTCTGACCTCCAATGTAAGGAACATTCTTCCCTCTGACCTCCAATGTAAGGAACATTCTTCCCTCTGACCTCCAATGTAAGGAACATTCTTCCCTCTGACCTCCAATGTAAGGAACATTCTTCCCTCTGACCTCCAATGTAAGGAACATTCTTCCCTCTGACCTCCAATGTAAGGAACATTCTTCCCTCTGACCTCCAATGTAAGGAACATTCTTCCCTCTGACCTCCAATGTAAGGAACATTCTTCCCTCTGACCTCCAATGTAAGGAACATTCTTCCCTCTGACCTCCAATGTAAGGAACATTCTTCCCTCTGACCTCCAATGTAAGGAACATTCTTCCCTCTGACCTCCAATGTAAGGAACATTCTTCCCTCTGACCTCCAATGTAAGGAACATTCTTCCCTCTGACCTCCAATGTAAGGAACATTCTTCCCTCTGACCTCCAATGTAAGGAACATTCTTCCCTCTGACCTCCAATGTAAGGAACATTCTTCCCTCTGACCTCCAATGTAAGGAACATTCTTCCCTCTGACCTCCAATGTAAGGAACATTCTTCCCTCTGACCTCCAATGTAAGGAACATTCTTCCCTCTGACCTCCAATGTAAGGAACATTCTTCCCTCTGACCTCCAATGTAAGGAACATTCTTCCCTCTGACCTCCAATGTAAGGAACATTCTTCCCTCTGACCTCCAATGTAAGGAACATTCTTCCCTCTGACCTCCAATGTAAGGAACATTCTTCCCTCTGACCTCCAATGTAAGGAACATTCTTCCCTCTGACCTCCAATGTAAGGAACATTCTTCCCTCTGACCTCCAATGTAAGGAACATTCTTCCCTCTGACCTCCAATGTAAGGAACATTCTTCCCTCTGACCTCCAATGTAAGGAACATTCTTCCCTCTGACCTCCAATGTAAGGAACATTCTTCCCTCTGACCTCCAATGTAAGGAACATTCTTCCCTCTGACCTCCAATGTAAGGAACATTCTTCCCTCTGACCTCCAATGTAAGGAACATTCTTCCCTCTGACCTCCAATGTAAGGAACATTCTTCCCTCTGACCTCCAATGTAAGGAACATTCTTCCCTCTGACCTCCAATGTAAGGAACATTCTTCCCTCTGACCTCCAATGTAAGGAACATTCTTCCCTCTGACCTCCAATGTAAGGAACATTCTTCCCTCTGACCTCCAATGTAAGGAACATTCTTCCCACTGACCCCCCATGTAAGGAACATTCTTCCCCAGAGACAGAGAAGTGAAAAACCGTCTGAAAAGTTTTAGAAGCACAGAAGTCCTTCAGTATCAGTTTAGTGTATTCCCACTTACCGAACGGGGCCCAGTCACACCACGTGGTGTCATTTTCGGAGAAATTCCCCAGAGGCTTGGGAAATTCGGAGCAATTTCGATGCAGCTGACTCTGCAAAAAACAAGACCGGATTATGTGTTATCATCATCCACACCAGCCATGGAGAGAGCCGGGATAACCGACATACGGGGAACAACGAAGTTAGTTCTGTGATTGGCTCAGATAAGAGATACGTTTTGATTGGTTGATCTGGGTGAGCGCATATCATTGTGCTCTGTGCTACCATACTTTATATGCCACGTGTTATTTTATAAGCCGAGCCTCTATGATTGAAAGAACGGAGAGCCAATGAATGAAAGGGGCGGAGCCAGGGACAGTCAGGCTGGGGAGGAAAGCGCTACATGATGCTGGATATCCTCCAGCCAGGAAATGAGGCGGGGCTCTGAGAAGTATAGTGACACAGCAGTTATTTGACTCTCAATGGAGGTATGATGGTGGGCGTAGACGGCTCTTCTGTAATTGGATGTAGTACCATTCTTCCCATCATCATGGAGGGGAGCAGATGACAAACACACGATATGCATGCAGACATCCCAACTCCCCAGGACGCTCCCACTATTAGATAGCGGCTCCCGGCCGCCAGGAAGAGAAACACTTTCTCCCGGAGAGGTTTACTCTGCTAGATCTAGCAGGGTAACCCTTTCCCTCCTCTGTTTTTTTTTCTGACATCGGGGCCGCCGTCAGTCAAAAAAAAAAAAAAACCCCCCTGCTTAGTACTGTGAGGGACCTGTTTCGGCAGGTCCCCGACGGAAACGGTCCACCGGCCTTCGGGTTGGTGGTCCGACAGTCTCAACCCCTGTCAGGAGCCTTGCGCCCCGGGGGGTCGGGAAAGTAGGTCCCTTCTTTGGAAGGACCTTGCACCCTTGTGCACGTTTTTTGTGTGCTGTGATTTCACGGTTCACTTTTTTTGTTCACAGGGGGAAGTTTGTATTGATGCACGTCCACGGGCTTCAAAAAAAAACAAAAAAAAAAACCCGCCCACTGCTGCTGTCAATCAGCATAAGGGGACCTGAAGTTATCCATCAGGTTCTCTTCTAGTGATTGACAGCAGCAGTGGGCGGGTGCAATACCTAGTTTGCTATTGCAAAGTGAATTAGCCAATAGGAATCTAGCTATGCATTCCTATGCTGTTTTTTTTCCCCCTTTCTCTTTATTCTGAAGGCAGCAGCTGTCAGAATACTACAAAAAAAAAAACAACCCTGCAGATAGCACAGAAGCTATTGCTCTTCCCCCCCCCTGCGAATGGGGGTGGGGGGACGGCAGAGGGCACCTACCTGAAATGAGAAGGGCACCTCCCTGAAATTGCTTTTTTCAGGTTGGGATCCCTGTGCATGTTAGTTACAATGAAAGGAGATCAATATAAAAAGGGAATGTCATGTGACCCCATAAAGGGAAACCTTTTGTATATGTGGCTATTGAGGGATGTATGAAAATGAACATTTTTTTTTGCCCGGAGTTCAGCTTTAAAAAAGGAGAACTATGAGGCGAGTGATTTTCACTCGGCCTCATAATCTGAGCCGACGTGTGACAATGAAACTATCACAGGTCGGCTCAATAGATCGGGGAGTGAACACGTACCGGCGCTCGCTCACTTCTCGATACTGTCCCTGCAGAAGCTTCTCGATACTGTCCCTTCTCAGAAGCTGCACACTGCGCGCGTTGGTTTAAGTAGTAACCAGCACACAGGTTTATATAATATGGGGAGGGAGGGGAGGGCGAAAAAAAAAATTCTGCCTCGGGCGCCCATAACTCTGGTTACGCCACTGTACCGCGAGCTGTAGCTCCCTATATACTGAGCCTAGGGTGACGGGAGGACGCTAGTTTGTGTCCTACCGTTACCCTAAGGAGAACTATGGGGAAAAACACTGACCCCATAGTTCTCCTTTAAGTCTGTAGAGTGACATGAATGTATCTGGTATACATCTGTAATATACTGTGTCCATAATTGAGCGGTTACATATCCCGGGATCGGCACAGTAACTACTTCCTATTTTGATCAGTGAGTAACAATTTCTATTTTTAATGTCCGTCTGGAACGCACGGGGGAGGGGGCGGGTACAGCTGGCTTTGTCTCTAGATAGGCAGAGCCAGCTGTCACTCACGCAGCTGGGCGGATCCAGACATATTGTCGGGATCGATCCTCGCTGCGGCGTCTCAGTATACCGCGAGCAGTAGCTCCCTATATACTGAGCTTAGGGTGACGGGAGGACGCTAGTTTGTGTCCTCCAGTTACCCTTAGGAGAACTATGGGGGAAAACACTGACCCCATAGTTCTCCTTTAGCATATAGGTATATGCCGAGCAGAAAATGGCGACTTACCTTGACCACACTGAGGGGCTTCCTGGACATGTGATATCCGGTGTAAAATATGAATGTCAAAACAACAATGAATCCCCGATACCTACAGTAAAGAAAAAAAAGAAATGTTCAGAGAGTTCCCCTGGAGATCGTTCACATTTCTCATCATTACATGTTTTCAAGGCTCTAACTAAACCTCAGCAAAGCACACGGGTCCCAGGGGCCCCCAAAAGGATCTCCATACGATCAGGGCTGGATTCATTTTCTCTGCTGCCCCAAGGCCAGGTTCCTCAATGCGCCCCCCTACCCGCCAACCCCACCCCATGGAGAATGGCAGACCTGCGGGCGGCATACAAGTGATCTCGGCGACATCACTGGGATCACTTGTACAAAACGAGCGGCGGCTTCCCCGCTGTACATTTAGCTCTGCGTGCCCAAAGCCGGGCTAAATGTAGAAAACAACTACCCGCCTGGCGCCTGGAACTGCATGTCCTCGGCGTCGGAAGATAGGAATTCCACACCCCTGCTGCCCCTCTACTCCCTGCTGCCCCAAGGCCGGGCCTCGGTTGGCCTTGTGGGAAATCCGGCGCTGCATACGATGACGTCATGTATTCCTCGTCACATACAGCTAGTATAGGCGGTTCCCTTCCTGTCCACACAGCAAAAAGTTTCCCATCGCACTCAACAGCCAGCATGCAAAAAAACTTGTCTCACCACTAAGGTTAAAAACAGAGGTTTGGATACACGTCTTCTGCAGAGGATGTGAAAGCCGCACAGCCGCGCCAAGGCACCTCTTATAGTGCGCTCCTAACTCTAAACTATGAGAGTCTCCATCTTGGAGCACATGGGGCAAAAGATCAAATTGGGTGCAGGTTTGTCAGGAGGGAGCCTCAACCTCCTTAAAGGCACAGGGACGCACAAGGGACCCCGCACATCACAAGGCAGCTGAGACCCCCCCATGCATTGTAACCCCGGGTGCGGGCCCGCATCCCCCGCGTGACGCCACTGCATGGAAGGGCCTAATACAGTTTCCTTTCCTGTCCAGTCACAGGACCTAGACCCGGCTGGATCACCCAACTCTGGTATAGTCAGTCAGCATGAAGGTCCAGGACATGGCTGTTCCCCTGTAGGTTCCCCTCCCAGAAGAGCCTTCTGGGAGGGGAACCTACTAAGGGCCCCGTGTTGAGGGGCTTTCATGGGCCAATACAGCGAGCTTCACACATCATTTTTGGGGATGCAGCCGAGATCATTCAGAATATTAATTGCAGGGGCAGTTTGTGTGACAGACTGTGGGAACCCCGACTGGGTACATCCGTCCAAAATCAGCTCCCTCCACTCTGGAACCGGAAAAATATCATAATTTAAGCCCAAACCGTCCCCCAATAAGCAGGCAGAACCAGTCCATTAGGGGAAAAACCAAGAACTGCCTTTATTGACACAGCACAGTACACACACACACACACACACAACTTCCTCTATACAACTATGTCAAACATTTCAAGTCCCAGGAAAAACCCCAAAATACAACAGAAAATACCAAAAATAACAGATGTCAGAAAACCAGGGACAGAGTTAACCCCTTCAGTGCTGCTGGATCCACACCCTGGGCTTATAATGGGAACAGGGGGGCTTATACATAAGGGGTGACTGAGGAACCAAGGAAGGGAGAGGGGGGGGGGGGGGGTGCCCAGACC